AAGATAAAGGAAGGTGGAAAAGGAGAAAGAAGGAGAACATGCAAACATCGCCGTCAACATCGCAAAGATGAAGAGATAGATGAAAATGACCAGTCTGGAGCAAGATAAAGAAAATACCACTGAAAACAGATGTGGAAATAGGAGACACCACAGTATGTCACAAGAAAACTCCATTAAAATCAGGAAAATGCAGAGGAAAATAATAAATCCCAAGGGAAAGAAGCTAATCGCAGGGATGGTGCCAACCATTGCAAAAAAGGCACTGATACAGAACATAACTTCGGAATTCTAACAATGAAAGTAAAAACTAGAGGTATCATGAGCAATGAACTCACTAAAAGTAAAAGATACCCCGCCTCCCATATGGTTATATTGACAGAGTCCATGCTTTGCTCTGGTAGATCAGAAATAAGTGTCAGATCAAAATGTATAAAATAGGAGGTACAAAAACTTGATGGAATTTGCCATTATAATGGTATGGGAGGCAGTGGGTATATAATTTAGTGAGCTCAGTGCTCACAATACCTCTAGTTTGGAAATAGAATTTAAAATTTGTTTTAAATGTTATTTTTTAAATATTGTAAACAATGATTTTATTGTTTTGGAAAACTATACGTCAAAATTAGGAAGAACAAATGAATCATTTGCACGTATGCAAATTTATAACATCTGGATGGTTTAAACATTACTTGTTTGCATCTGGAAAATTTGGGGGAAAGAACACGAAGATGATGCCCTGTTCACACGGAGAGTTTAATTCGAATTAAACGTAAAGTTACTGCGAATTAGCTTCGCTTAGCGTTCACACGGAGAATTTAATGCGAATTAGTTTAATTCGAATTAGTTTACTGCGCATTAAATTACTTCACATTAGCTCCGTGTGAACGCTAAGCGAAGCTAATTCGAATTAAATTTTAAGGCATGCGTAATGGCAAAATTAGGTCAAATGCCACATGTCCGTGGTCAAATTGAAGTATTTGTGCTATTTTTGAGTGAAAAACTAAGGAAAATTGTGTTAATCACTAAAATGTGTGTACAGGCACTATAACATTATGTCAAATGCATCTGATTGCCACCACGACAAAAGGTCCTTATGGCAATTTTTCTAGAACAGAGAAATAACGTCATAAAGACGTGACGTTGCAGACGGTTAGCGTCGTGCGTCGCAGATTTTTTTTTTTACACGTGTTTTACGTTTTGACACGTCTAGCCTTTATCATGTTTATCGTGGTTTTTGAACATTGTTATTATACAGTAATTATGATTTAATTTCATTTATTTTATATAATTTAAATCTGAATTTTCATTTTGGATCTTCTAGTCCACTGGTATTAATTTAAATGTAGGCCTATTTAGAATTTTATTTGAGGTCAGTTTCTTTACTATACGTACGTCGATCTCTGATCTATTTCATTTCATTTCCTCTATGTATATATAGAAGCTCAGACAAAGTGTTTTTCTAAATAATGCGGATGAATAAATGCAAATTTTTCTATTCTAGTATAGACAAAATTAAAGTTAGGTGTTAGGCACGGGCATTTAATTAAAATTCTGTATGAGATCCGCTCCAGCATTCTCAACATTTGTAAACATCAATCTAGATCTGTGTATACATGGAATCATCGGTGCATCTTGCATAATTTTTTGTTGTCAAGTGCTTTAATGTTAAAACAAATTTGAAACTGAACATATTTCTTGCAACAAAGATTAAATGTATTCTTATAAGTTTCCCGAATCTTGCAAAATAATCAGCAAATGACAGACGCGAAATTGTTTTCGGAACTATAAAAAAAATGGAGAGATAACTCCAGCAATCAAAATACTTTTTATAGGGGTTCCAGAGAGGGGCATTTTTTTTCTTCATTAACTGACGATCTTCATAGAAATTTGCTCCCGGATTTATATATTAAAAAAAACTTTTTAAAAATCTTATTCATCAGCAGTGCAAACGTTCTACTAAGTATTTGAAAAACATTTAGAAATTTTTTTTTACACTTTGGAAACAAGATTTATGTAGAATAAATAATAGATGCAACATTGAACCGAATTTTTTAATTTAAAAAATCTGTTACATGAGTTCTACTCCTTTTGATATGAAAATATTTAAATGACTTTAATTTTAAAATTATTTTTTCCATACAAAAATGTTTAACTCTTTATTGTTGTTTCTTCCAATTAATATTACAGTGATAACAAGCAAAAACTACCTTTTGAAATAAAATTGTTCAAAATCAAAAAGATAGATCAAGTTTACATTCGTGTCTTAATTTGATGAGAGAGATGGATAGACTGCTTACATTTAATCCAGTTTATGGATGTAGAAATGAAACTTCAATAATAAAAATCGAATTATTCAAGCAACAGAATATCGTATAATGTATAAGATCTCTACTGTTTTAGGTGTACCTGTACCTATTTATTTTCGGGAATATGAAATAAAAGTTTAAAAGTATAAATTATAGCTTTAAACATCTGCAGATTTAAGTCGTACATAGCATACGTGTAAGTCAAAACATATACAATCCGTGTCTTATATAGTATCAAAGCGAACGCGGTACAGTTCTATTTCCACAGGAGTCTGAAGGTTTATCGTCCCAAAAAAAATATACTGAAAATTTTTTTACATGCATGCCACCTCGTAAAATTCTCTCATTTTCAAAAGTATGCCAGTTTAGAAATATTGCGAACTAGTCGCATTTAACTGATTGAATGAATATCAAATTTCCGATTTAATTTTTACCTCCTAACGGAAAATTTCTGTATTAATTAATTTACTAAGCATATGATTCAAAACAACAAGGCATTTACATGCATAATTATCATACCCCGCTTGAAAAGTCGGAGGGGGGGGGGGCACATATATATAGTGATTGTTATACACACCGCTTATCCCCAACTCCTCTTATACCACTGAATGAATTTTTATGAAACTTCACAGATTTTTTTATGTAGTTCCATAAGATTGTACACCTCTGGTCCTATTTTACTTTTTGGTCGGTTATATATTTCGGATTTTCCTCTTGATTACAAAACACGGGCAACGCCATTCATTTTATAATATTGAAGGGTACCCATCTCAACCCGCAACTCCTCCTACATCATAGAATAAATTTTAATGAAGTACTTTCATTTATTATTTATTATAGATAATGTCATTTTTCACCTCCAAATATATATTTTTGGTTTAACACTTATTTCATGTTTTGCCATTATAACGCATGGTGGGGGGGGGGGGGTATCATTTAGTGAGCTCAGTGTTCACAGTACTTCTAATTGATGATTTACTGTTTATATTTCCAATGTCTTTGTCCGAGATAAAATTACAAAGAGTTAAAATACTTTCTTTCTACATAAATCCATTGGTTCACCGATAGGCGCGTTTAACAAAAAATCACGCGCGGCGGGACAAATTAATACAGAAGCGGGACTTACAGTAGCACATGGATTTGCGGAATCAAGATCATGTACATGTAGTTATAAGGAAAAACTAAGATTTTTTTCATGGCGATGAACAATCAACTGCCTAGTGTGATAATTTTATGCTGTGTAATTCTGCAAAATATCACACAAGCCACGCGATCGATCACAATATGAAACCAAAAATTAGACAGTTATTCATAATTATATCGAAAATTCTATTTCATATCAAAATTTTAAAAAAGACAAAATTAATATATTTCATTTGAAATTTCGATTTATGTTTAAAAAAAAAAAATGAAAATTAACACTAGTAGGTAGAATGGCTTTAATAAATCAGTAATAAATTACCCGCTATTTGTATATACTTGGTATATATGTTCTTCTAAAAGTCTTTAATTTTTACAAAAAAAACCCACTTTAATTGTTGTACAGAGTATACAGTAATTAATTGCATTTCACAATTTTTTCTGTTTTTATATTAAGAAAGAAAAAAAAAATTCACAAATTTTCACAACCCAGTTGCATCTTGTTCATTGTTGTTACCGAGGACTTTTTTGAAATACCTAGGTATTTCGGAGCATTTTCTTTCACATTTGGAAAGATTTATTGTTATACTGTATTAAAACAAGAAAGTTGACAGCTTGGCCTACGTGCATCGAGGGCAATGATTTTCGAATGAATTCTATAAGATTTTCAATTAAACAAATCTTTACAAGATTTACGAAGAAATATTTTAGTATTGTGAAAGTATGCTTTATATAACAAAGATAATTGATATTGAACAGAAGTCGTTTGCTTCTCCCAGCAATTTTCCATCAATGAAAGTAACACTGTTTAATTGTTTTATATTTCACTGTGAAATACAAAACAACCAGTTACTTTTAATGATGGAAAATACTAAACATTTATTCCCAAGTACTATACTAAAATTATTATTATATTATATACAATAATTAAAATCAAAGATTTAATAAACTTGTAAAAAAATTATTCTTTGAATACTCAGTGATATACATTCATTATCATTATTAACGTTACGACGAAAAGTTAAAAACATGTTCACTCTGAAAACTTTTGACGTTTGACGTTAGTGCTAAAGTAGCAGGACGTCATTATTTACCTGTTAAAGTATTAGTGATATAAATGAAGGAAAAACATACTTAGAGTTGACGTAGGGTCACAAAAATTCATATTTGGTAACTTCTAACCTTGCTCTATTAAAATCCATGGAAAACTAAAAATGTGTAAAAATCGCCATAAGGACCTTTTCTCATGGGGCCAATCATCTGTTCCTGCATAAAGTGATGTGATTTGCAAATGACGTCATAATAGCCTTACTGACGCCTGGCCGTAGAAGTAGAATTTTAATTCGCTTTAGTTTACTTCGCATTAGCTGTTGTGTGAACGCAATTTAATTCGCATTAGTTTGATGCGCATTAGTTTATTTCGCATTAATTTACTGCGAATTAATCTCGTCGTGTGAACAGGGCATCAGTATCTCTAATCTGACTGTATTTTAATTTTGTATTTATTTTCAGCACAAGAGCACAAAAGGCTGATAATCTTTTTAAAGAAAAACTCAAAAATATATGGTATAAAAATCTGCCAGATTTTATTCAAATACCCAGGTATGTACTTAAGCATTGTCTATCATTACAACAAAAGATTTCACCCGAATCTAACTCTGACTGTATAAACTGACAATCGTCTGCCTGGAATAGATAGAAAATGAAGGATAATCTCAATTTTCAAAGATACAAACTCTTTGTGTCATGAAAAGTGATAACTGAAATTTGGCTGAAGCCAAACATCTTGCAAAATAGAACTTGCCTGTAACTGTCGTTATTTATAGTCTTGCTTGTATTGCACAAAATTCTAAAGTATTTCTAAGAAAGAGAAAGAGCAATGTTCCACAAAAAAAAGATCTTGAACATACCATAGAGCAGTGGACTGTGAACTTATAGCCTACATAAGATCGAATCATACAGGTCTGCGTTTCTGGCAGACAAGTCCGGTTCCAATTACACTGTAATGCCTCGTCACACACTGGGCACGGTATGGCAGGTTTGGTACCTGCAGAATGCAGGTCTAAAATAAAATTACTGACTATATAATGAAAAATATACATATAGTTTGCAGAACATATATTCCTCAGTGTATATAGATCTGAGACTATGAACGTTAATTATTCTCTGTCGACTTTTCAAAGGGCAACCAAATAAAGTGAGTGCATCCTTGTCTTCTATGTTTAAAAATTGCTAAGAATTCAATTTTTACAATTTCATCCCTTTTACACAACTTTCAACTTTACTATAAGCTATATAAATGTAAATTAAAGCTTGCTTTTTGTCATTTTCCCCATTTTTACAAAAAAAATTATCTTCCATTAAATATATCTTTATACAAATGTAAATACCCGTGGTGGTGCTAGGAGATTTTGTGGTTGACGTCGAAGTTGTGGCTTCTGAAAGAAAGACTAGTGTTTGTTCAAATTATCTTGCGATATGTTATTATCTTGAGAAATCATAATCAATACCATCTTTTTTCTTCTTTAAGTTTAAAATTAATTGTGAAAATATGAACGTATACATACTTGTAGTAGTTGCTCGTTCTGTTGTGTTTGGTGTCGAAGTTATTTCTAAAAAAAAGTGTTTGTTTGAATTATCCTGCTATCTTTAGAAATTATAATCAAAAAGTTCGCGTACTTTATTCTTTAAGTTTTAATTTTATTGAGGAAATATGAACATATACATACTTTTAGTACTTAAGCGTTCTGTTGTGGTTGGTGTCGAAGTAGTTATTTCTAAAAGAAAGTGTTCAATAAAAGTACCTGCAATATGTTACTATCCTTAGAAATTATAATCAATATTATCTGTTTTCTTCAAGTTTAAATATTTGTTGTGAAAATATGAACATATACATACTTGTAGTAGTTGATCGTTTTGTTGTGGTTGATGTCGAAGTTGTTACTTCTAAAAGAAAGTGTTCGATAAAAGTTTCCTGCAATATGTTACTTTACTTAGAAATCATTATCAACATTATATATTTTCTTCTTTAAGTTTAAAATTTGTTGTGAAAATATGAACGTCTACATACTTTTCGTAGTTGTACGTGCTGTTGTGGGTGATGTTGAAGCTGGAGCAACTATAAAGTGATGTTTGTACATTAATTAGAGTACATGAAAATGAATTTCCCGGGATTATGCTAAAAAATTGCTGTTTATATTTTGCCGTTTATTATACGAACATAATTGTATCCCTGTCGTATAGATCTTTTGGTACTAGAGAAACGATTTTGGCTCCTTTCAATGTTGTCGCCATTGAAGCTTAGTCTCTTGAAACATTAAAGGAAAGTTTTTTTGATAAATGAATGAATTACTTGGAGTTAACAAACAGTATTTAAGCTTCAAAGTCCATAAAACAATAACAATACAAATTTGGAGCTGAGTAAACATAAACATTTAAAACATCAGACGTGGAGGAGTGGGCATTCCCTACTGACCGGTCACACCCACCTTGTGTTCCCTGTCATGATCTGTATTCAGAGGTTCTGCTGACAACTTGTATAGTTTTGATTTCTTAAAAACATTATTAATGTTCGATTTTTTCAAGTCAACTTTTTTTATTTATACAAAATTTTATTCACACAAATAATGGGATCGGACAGCAGGCAAAGCCTATTTTAGCCCTCTCCCTAGTCAAGTTTCATGACAAGGGAAACCAGAAGAAACATTTTTGTTTAAAAAAATTCCCTCCTTCCCATGCTAATGAATCCTATATAAATTGATTAAACACTGCTCTTTGTTTTACTATTTTTTTTTAAAATTTACAAATAATAGAGAAGGCCCTCTGAAATGGCTTTAGATTTAGATTTTTGCCTTATAATCAAAGCATAATTTCTGCCTTAAAACCAGAACATAAAACAAGTAATTGATGATAAAGAATCTTTAAGTCTATCTTATTGTAAATTTTGAATTTACATGCATGGGAAAGACAAATGCAAAATTTACAAGAACATTAACTACCACGTTTCTCCTTTTATATTTCTACGCGTGAATATACTAGTACACGGAAACTGTTTTCAAATCAATTTCACAGTTGTCTTAGTAGAAAAACATAGCAATGTAAATATTCCTGAAACAAAGAAGTATCAGCATATAATGACAAAGTACCAGCATATGACAAAGTACCAGCATATAATGACAAAATACCAGCATATAATGACAAAATACCAGCATATAATGATGAAGTATCAGCATATAATGACAAAGTACCAGCATATAATCACAAAGTACCAGCATATAATGACAAAATGCCAGCATATAATGATGAAGTATCAGCATATAATGGCAAAGTACCAGCATATAATGACAAAAAGTATCAGCATATAATGACAAAATACCGGCATATATATTAACAAAAAGTATCAGCATATAATGACAGAATACCAGCATATAATGATGAAGTATCCGCATATAATGACAAAGTACCAGCATATAATGACAAAATACCAGCATATAATGACAACGTATCAGCATATACTGACAAAATGCCAGCATATAATGAGGAAGTATCAGCATATAATGACAAAATACCAGCATATATATTTACAAAAAAGTATCAGCATATAATGACAAAATATCAGCATATAATGATGAAGTATCCGCATATAATGACAAAGTATCAGCATATAATGAAAGTTCTCCACATAAGGCAGTTACGGCGTTCCACAAATAATAATGATCGCAGTGCGTATACTTACCGACACAAAAGCAATGCCCACGATAACACACTGCTATATGATTTGATGTACAATCCTTATTTTTACAATCGGTATCCGAATGACAAGCAGGGGTATGTACTATCCCTTTAGCTAATAATATAAAAATTAATATTTCTAACTTCATATTTCATTGAATAATTTCGATGGACGTAAGACAATTCAATGCTTAGCATGAAAAAACAAACGTTGAATTTTTAACTTTTTGAGTATCTGAGTGCACAAAATTCTCACAAGTACTTCAGATTTTTAAAACGCTATAAGGTATAAGTGATAAATCCTCTAAAAATAGTTATATTGAAGACGACTCTAATTCATCTCGAAAATCTGCAGCAAAATTTAAATTCTAATGAATCAATCTCGAATTCTTTTATCAAGATTTTCCCGAACTTTTTCATAGTCCTCTGGCCTTTCCCTTAATTCTATGACACTCGGAACTCTCGAGTTACCCGCTAGGTGACATTTCCAAATTTTTTAGCATTTTTCACGTTTGACGCTGAATACTCGGATTATTGGGGCAATTAAATAGCACGACGAAAGACAAAAATATCTACCGAAACAAGATATCATGACACATTTTGGTGACATGTAGTAGGTATATGATATACTAGGCCCAATCGAAGTGACTTCCGTTCTCTCTTTTATATTATTGTTTTACAAACAGCGTGACAGTTTGCTTTATAGGGCGTGCTAAAATTTTGTATGCTGATTATCATTTTACTCATCGATTGGATGTTTGATTTCAATGGAATCAATAAGACTTTGCATATGAAACACAGAACCCAGCAATACCACTGACAATACTGACCAATCGTATTGAATGACATGTTTACTAGCATGCAGTAAACAACAGTTACACCTGGAAGGAAAAAGCAAGTTGTACAACCTATAATGATGATATTGATAGCTACATAGTACAACAGTAGCAGAGTAGACTTACTAATTCTGTTCTTTGAATTTTCATATACGTATATAAAACCATCCGGTCGAATCATAACAAATATAATACATGCTTTTTTTAAGGACAGAGAACGGGCTTTGACTGACCACGTGTTGCTGGTGAGTACAAATGCGCACTGCTGAACAATCATTCAATGTGATTGGCCAGTATTCTCAGGACATTGTTGTATTCTGAGTTTCATATGCAAATTAGTGTTGATTCCATTGAAAAAAAGCATCCAATCGATGAATAAAATGAAAATCAGCACATAAAATTTTAGCACGCCCCATAAAGCAAACTGTCATGCTGTTTGTAAAACAATAATAATACCAGGGTTATGACTTTTTTTTAGTAAATCGTTAAATCTATTTTAATTTTTGGATTTTTCAGATGGAATACATTATAAATAAATACGAGAAACATAATTCTTGAGAAAAAAAGAAAAAATATTTTGACCGGGGTGTATATTGGGGGGAGGGGAGGGGCAGGGGTGTTCCTGTCCACAAGTACCTGTGAAAATTCTTAATAATCTTGACGGCAGTTTAAAAAACATGAAACAAGAAGCCCATTGGCCACACCGCTCACCTTAGTAACTTTGGTGATGCCGTTCTTTACAAGATTTCCACCCTTGTAATACCTATTGTGGCCTCGCCCCCCCCCCCCCCACCCCCGAGGTCACAATTTTAACAATTCAGAATTTACACTATCCCAAGATACTTCCACATAAGTTTCAGCTTTTCTTCCCCAGTGGTTGTTGAGAAGAGTATTTTAAAAAATTTTTCCTATATATTTCTATGTAAAACTTTATTTCCCTATTGTGGCCCCGCCCTACCCCCGGGGGTCATGATTTTAACAATTAAGAATCTACACTACCCCAGAATGCTTCCACTTAAGTTTCAGCTTTTCTGGCCCAGTGATTCTTGAGAAGAAGATTTTTAAATTTTTTCCTACATTTTTCTATGTAAAACTATACAGTAATAATATAAGTAACCCTGATAATAATAATATCAGAAACCCTGATCAAAGTATCAGTGTCCTTGTGAAGAATATCAGTAACCATGATAATAATATCAGTGATCCTGATAATAGTATCAGTGATCCTGATAATAGTATCAGTAATCCTGATAAAAGTATCAGTAGCCCTTATAATAATATCAGTTATATCGGGGTAATAATAATATTTAGTGACCCTGATAATAGTAACAGTAACCCAGATAATAATATCAGAAATCCTGATAATAGTATCAATATCCAAGATGATAATATCAGTAACCCTGAAAATAGTATCAGTAACCGTGATAATAGATTAAAATCTTACTTAAGCAGACGCAATGTCCGTGTAAGCAGGTCTCACTGTAGGGAGAGTCACAGAAGGTATTAGGACAGGCTTCCGAGTGGTGATGAGGATCACGACGACTATGGCACGTTAAAGTATTAATCGTCTCTACGTAATGAAAGTTCCGTTAGAAATGCTTTGTGGAAGTTCAAGATTGGTTGTGTAATACAGAAAACCATGTTACAAAGAGAGGGGAAAAATTTAGTTTGTCGATATGTTTTAAACTTGTTTCATTTGCTTTGAAATTAAAGATCTTTAATTGTTTTCAAAACGTACTTTCCCCCTCTCTCTTTATGATGAAAAAAAAAACAGATTAAAAAACTGTATTTCAATCAGAGGAAATCATAATAAACACTATGGATAGAATTAAGCCTGCTCTTTGAATGATGCTTTTATATTGATGATTTTGTTTACTAAGTGCTTCAAATTCCACCAAAGAATGAAGGTAAAACCATTTCTTTATACTTCTGCCAATTTCATCTATTCTGCATTTAACATATGTCCATTAAAATTTTTCAGCTTATCATACTCAGTTTCAAGGCTAATTCGTAAATACAAGATTTATTAACAAAAAAGTCTGTCAAAACATGTTCTTATTTGTGTTCTTATGGGTGGAATTTCAATCAATGTCATCAATAACATGACAAAAATTTCAAAAGAAAGATAAAAAAAGGAACAAAAATGCAGCAATTACCATGTAAGCAGAAATTTCACCGAGGATGCAATTTTGGCATTATGTTCTTTGCAATAATATCTTTGATAAGCGTTAAAGAATCGCTAAAATTACATCTCGCTAAAGATATACAATGTATTTAGCAATTTTTAAGGATAAAACGCTAAATTCATGTCACCCTAAATTTTCCACTTTTACGTTTTTATATCACTACCATTTACAGATGTGAAAATGATTGTACGATGAAAAAAAAAAAGACCTACTCCAGCATTGGCACTTTCCACTTAAACAAATAGGCTTGCTGTGTGAACAGTGAAGACTTGCGCAATTGCTGTCCCTCGTACAATGGTTACTGCCATGTGGTTCATCTACAATTAACATTCTACAGTAAAACCCGCTTATGGTGAACATCCTCATATTACAGCAATGTCATTTTCATTCCTCATGACTTTAAAACATTTTGTTTTTTGAACAGATAATATAACGAAATACGTTTATTAAAGAAATACAATCTAATCTTCAGCCTTCATTATCAGCGTGTTTTACTATAACATTACTCCAGTATGTTCATATGCATGTTTTATATTATTGCTTTCTGAAAAAAGTTGCTCCTATTCAATTATTAAATGTTTCTTAATTTTTTATTCATGAAATATGATGAGAATTTCACTTAATCAATGACCAGTTGCAATGGCTAAAAAGAATCAAATGAAAATATGTAGAACCTGTGGCATATTTATTTTTTTATTCAATAAATAAAAAAAAAAAACATTTTTCACATTTTGGAGTACGGGAATTAAGTCAATACTGACCTTTGAAGTTGTAACGACTATAGCTACTCAGTTACTTTGTACTATACATTAGCAAGTGCTTAGGAGTCTTTAGAATGAGATTTTATGAATATCCAGTAGATGGTGACATCTAAACATGAGGAACATATTTTTGCTCAATTAATAGAAACAGTATAGATATATATGATAGGTTAAAGAGCAGGCAATATGTAAGTTAACAAGTAACAATCATGTCATTGCCAAACTTCAACTCCAGACAGTGGTCAGCCTTACAAATTGATTTCTTACAATCTTTAGTTCACTTCTGATGAGAAAGGTTTCCTTTCCCGCCCATTCATCTGCTCTTTTGTATACTAGCAATCGGCAATCCTCGACTGACTCCGCTACGCTTCATTCAAACCTCGGATGTGATTGATGGAGGAAAACGCATCAAGTCAATACATTTCTAAGCGGGAAACTGCCTTGTCACCCATTTCATATTTCGCTCTACATAAAGTTCTTCGAAAAGGTTTTTTAGTTTGTTTAATTCTGTATTGTAAAATAGATTCTGATTATATATTTGTTGCAGGTTGATAAATCTAACTTGTTTATATCGAACACGTGGTTGCTATTTATAGGGTGTGAGAGGTAACGCGTAGTAATACTTGTTAAACGGGTTATATAAAGCATGACTGGCATGCTCTGTGATTTTTATAGTCATTCGAGCTCAAGACTTTGCGTTTTTCACACGCTTTACGCCCGCCCACCCACCGTCCTTTTTTACATATTATTTAGTTTTAAAAGTGGGTATTGGTATGTTTATATTATTATAAGAATTGAATATGTTTAATTATTGAAATGTTTTTATGTTGTGGATCTACGTAATCGAGTTATATTCAGGAAAGCGAGGCAGATATTCGCGTGTTCTATGTATTTATATGTTAATAAATGCGCAAGTCTTGGAGCATTTACCCATAATCAGTGTTGTTATGATTTTGAATACGACTGGTAAATATTTTTTGCTCGTTTTAGATTGTTCGAATAAGAACATAAACAACCTTATTAAAACCTTTTGATTGTAGGCTTTGAAAATAAGAACAAATTATGGGATATTCTATAAAGTAACTTGGATTTCAAATGTATGACATTTGAGAGAACTTCAAATAAGATCAAATGTCTGAATCATGGTAGAGCAACTTTGACGTCCGAGGTTGTGTGCGAGGTACGAGCCATCCGAGGAACTCCGAGTGGTATATTAGTCTTTCTAAAGCATTGATTTTAAGCCGATCCTTTGTGTACATGTACGAGTCTAAAGAAATTTTTTTTTCAAAGTGCGTTAAATTTTGGACCAAGCTAACGCTAAATTTCTTTTCAATGTGCGTTAATATCGACCATATTAACTCACTTTGAAAAAAAAAATGAAAAGCTTGATCAATATACTTACAAATAATCGGTATGACAAATAATTGACCCTGGTAGGATAACTTTTTTTGTGATAAAGTAACTTCAAGACCTGAGGTATTGACGTTTTAAATATTTTAGGTTTTGATAAATGTTATAAAAGGGAAATGGGTCTTTTAGAATGAAAGAGAGAGATGATTGTTTAATATCATTATTTCGCTTCTTTTTTAAAAATTCTAGTTTGTAATTAGTAGATGGGGGGGGGGGGGCTAAAAGAGAACGACTTAAAGCATAGCATTTATCTTAAGAAAAATGGGACATTTTGATTTTTCAAAACTATGAAAATTCTTTCTCTCTCATATCTTTTACTGTTCTTAAAATTTCTAGTTTTCATTTGTTTTAAGTTAATTCATTTATTGAAAGTTTTCAACGTCATAACAGTTATGTATATGTTTTTGGAATAGCATAGGCATCGGAACCGGGCGAAGGGCAAGGGGAGGGGGGCTAAGCCCCCCACTTATTTTGGAAAGATATACATCAAATAGGCATTGAAAATGCGGCTTACCCTTTTTTCGGTTCATTACTCCCCTTCCCCCGTTTTATTTGTTACCGACGCCTGTGTATTGAAAGATAAAGAGTTGGGCTGAGAGATCGTCTACCCGTCCTCTCCTCTTCTCGACGGGAGTAAATCAGTTCATTAAGTTTTTTGAAAGATAAATAACAAATAAAAGTCATTACTAAGATCTAAATCCAGAATTTTCGTTTTTACATATTTTTTTTTCAAAGTGCGCTAAGTGTCGTCTAGGTAAAATATATTGATGTGAACTCTTAACGCACTTTGAAAAAAATTTTCGAAGTGCGCTGAGTTGATCCCAAATTTAACGCACTTCGAAAAAAAACTAAAAAAAATTTCAAAGTGCGTTGATTTTGTCCCAATTTTAACGCACTTTGAAAAAAATTTTCAAAGTGCGTTGCCACATTGGATGTACTTACTTTATCAATGTACATGCACTTACGTATATTGCTGTTGCATGTACTTACTTTGTCACCATACATTCACTTGTACGTAAATTTTTGTTGCACATACTTACTTAAGCCTTAGACCTAAAGCACTTTAGGTCTATGCTTAAGTACGTACATTTACTTACGTCTGCATCCACATTCATGACTGTGACAATAATGATGATAATCTCTCTCGCAATGTGCATAATAACAATGAGAGGTCGTGGTGCAATAGCCCGCATCTCCTAAAATAAGGTGAAGAGAATCACTTTTTACATTTATGCTATCTATTCCATTCATAGAATGACTATTCCAAAAACCCTAAACTTAAACCCAGTATACCACTAAATCTTAGCAGCAAGTTTTGTATTGAAGTATTTTATTCTGTATTCTATTTTTTTCGTTTTTTTCATTTGCATGTTAAATAATTATGACGAACAAAATTATTTTATGGCGTTTTTTTTCGAACACATATTTCTAATTCGTATTTCATTTATACATTGTACAGTAAAACTCGGTTATAACGAACTCACTGGTACCTGTGAAATTACTTCGCTATATCCGTAATTCGTTATAACTGTATAAGAAAGTCATTAAATTTTATTAGATGGGGATCCAAGATGACTTCGCTATAACCGTAAATTCGCAATATCCGTGTTCGTACTAAACGAGTTTTGCTGTATATCCTACAGGAAAACAATATTTGTAATTGAGATAATTAGCATTTGAGAAATAATCCAAAGCGTTCCAAAAATTAGGAATAGAAACAAAAAAATATTACATCGAATTCTTAACGTTTACATAAAATGGAATACTGGTTTCTTACAATTGGCAAAAAGCAAGCACTTAAATGTATACAATAGGTACCCTGAAGCCATCTTTAAAATAATGTTTGCTTGCCCTCTCCCGACGCAGGGTAAAATCGTTGGGTCGGTCGGTAGGTGGAAAAATCTTCCTTTTTTCCCAGAATTTTTAGTCAGTCGGTCGAACGATAGAGCAACCAAACAATTTTTTAAAGATGGCCTGATACATGTTAAAAATGTAGCTCACTTCATAAGAGTACTTACGTCTGCAGAGACAGTTTCCATCATGATGACAGGTTGGATGTTCACCTCCAGAACAGGTAATATTTCCACCACATGCCGAGTCACTGGTGCAACCAATATCTACAGAAGGTTTTTCTTTTGATAATTAATGTTTGAATTTCATTTGCATTATCTTAATAATACTATCCTAAAATATCTTGAGTCGTTAAAATGTTTTTTTTTTGTTTTTTTTTTTTTTGTTTTTTTGTGTTTTTTTAACATAATTTATGTCTTTTTCCATGAGTCATAATTAAGCGCATTGTAGTATTGACAACTTTTGCTCGATAACAGAGAAGTTGTGCGATTATCTTGGATGACCATTTAGATCTTAAAATAAACTTTAAGTATGCTGAGAGAAATTAAAAGTAATAATGCTAATTTCTAACTCTACCCTTAAGTTTTATCTTGTTCTGAAAGGCACTTACCAACACATGTACATTTTCCGTTTTCACATCGTGGCGCATGATTAGTAGAACAATGTAATTCTCCACATTCACCGTGGGATTTACATGGAGGTGGGCCACCTGAAAAAAAGGACTCAAAGTTGATCTAATTTCACAAAACTGTGAGATTTCTGTGACAGCAATTTGGACTGCAATGAGTCAAAATGTTAGCAATGGGAACCATATATTGATAAAATGAAAACTGAAGATAACAAATCTCAGATAGGCAAGCTTGTGCTCTATGTTTTCCGAAGAGAAAAGTATCTCAAATATGATGAAATTCCACCAGAATTGAGGAAATTCGGGAAAATGTCCTACTTCTGCACCCTCTTGTGACCTTCATGTAAGCTTTGAATCCAAACAAGTGCTGGTTTTAAAGCAAGCACCGTTTTAAGTTCTTAACTACAAACTATCTCAATTTTACCAGTGTTCTGATTCTTAAATCAAATAAGGGGGCGGATTAAACCATTACACTACCTTGTCCTTTGATTCTAAAGCATTATTTCAAAAGAGCCGTCATTTAGGTACTTTAATGTCTGCCGTGAATTGATACTATGAATACAACAAAGAATGACTTATCATTGATGGTTTAATCTCCTTTAATTTCTATCCATCATAATTTGTTTCAATTAGGGATAATAATGGGATTATATATAATAATTTAAAAAAAGGTTAAAAAATTATCATGAATAAGTTTCTTACTTAAACATGTACAGTGGTCGTTTACGCAGGCCGTGCTATATGGAGAATGGCAGTGGAATGATGATGGACAGTGGACCGCGTCATGATGGTGATGGTGGTGTTCATGAGTGCATGCTGGGGGTGCTACGTGCTCTGAAAATCAAATGTTACAGGTAAGTTGTATAGTGGGGTGTTTTCTACTTCAAGCCGCCTGATCCCAACTCTTGTGTTTTAGTGGTCGTGCTTTTACCTTGTTCACATTTTGTATATTTTATTGGAAGATCTGTTTAAAATCGCCCTTTTAAATAATTTTGAAAATATGCCTGAATGTTTTGTAGTACAATTTTGTTTGGAACATTTTTTTCCTGATTTTTTCCTCCGTTGCAATATTTTTTTAAAGTTTAAAAAAAAATCAGCTTGTTTGACATTTTTCCTGCTAGTTTTTTTTTTTTCGTAAAATATAACACTAACATAGATTGCTTTCATTTGTTATGAAATATTTAGTATTAAAAAGGGAAACTATAAAGCCAGATTTCAAAACATCATCTGACAAGAAGCTTCCAGCCATTTTTATTGATTTAGATTTTCTTACATTTTGTTTTCATTTTTCATTTGTATGATTTTAAAAGAAAAAAAATTTTGCAGAATTAAAGTGAAAAGTGTGAGAGTCAAAGAACATTTATGCGATTTTTTTTTTAAATTAGAAACTTTCTGAATAATACGACTTACTCATGCAATAACACTTGCTGGTGTGACAAATGTGCTCGTAGTAACTGTGTGCGCAGTGGATACCATTACAGTTGCTATCAGTTGTACATCCAGGACTGTTGTCTGCGACCTCTACAACAAATCATAAGTTCTATAATGTAAAATACAGTAGTATTCTAATTTTAATATTTTGCATAAAAAACGTATCAAAGTCATGTACATATAACGTCTAAATAATCATATCAAATTATTTACATATTTTAGAGTTCTCTTAAGGTCATAATTTTTTTTTTATAAATTAAAAGATATAAAGCTAAAAAGAGAGAATTATCAATACATACTGATACATCCACATTTGTGTGTTCCAGTATGACAATATTGTGCATAACCTGTTCCACAATGTTCATAACCACAGTCAGCAGTCGATGAACAATAACCAACGTCACCTATAAAAATAATTTGTTCACATGGCAATTGATATTGACATGTACATTAAATTCTATTTAAAGATTTGTATTATCATAATAACATCATTATCTCATAAACTTCCACTGCTTTCCCTAAGATCTGTTGTGATTAGTTACAGAAAACCACCTGTTGCTTTTTCTTTTTTGAAATATGTTGAATCAGACTTGCTACAAAAATGACTATTATAAGACATAACTACAGAACAAGATCATCTAGAAGGCTTTTGAAAAATATAATTAAAGGTTCAATCTATGAGGTTTCTAATTTAATCATGTGATCTTTAGATTATTTGAATTATATTTATACCTTTTGCAAATTTTCATCTGATGTCTGTTATATTTTAGGATGTTAAATACTGTAAGCATATTTCTAATTTGCTGCTAATTTCGCGAATCTCTGATATCAAAGTAAATGTAATTGGTTGATTTTGAGACAGACTTCATATCAACAGACGATTGGCTGAATTTTATAATTTGTTACTGACGTTTGCAGAGGCATTTTCCATTCAGGGAAATAGCATGATCCCCATCTGCACACCTAGGATGAGTGGTACAACATTTTACAGATACCAGTGCGTACACTACCACTGAAAATCAGAAAACAAAAGATCAATATTTCGTAAAGCAATTTTATTTGAATATTTTGATTCGTTCTTCTACACAAAAATGACAAATTTTTAATTGACTTTGTTTTAAAGTCTTCATTTTGTCATGAGAGTACTTAGATTGAAATGCAATACACAGTAATCATGTTAAAAATCCCAATGAAACAAAATTATGAACAGAGAATATAGACCTCTGTAAACAATTAAGATGGCGGGTCCTTCTGAGGAGTAAGCATCCCGTATCAATCGTACATAATCTCATGTGCTCTTTGACCTGATCGGAAAACAGAGAAATCGGCGCGCATTCAGATTGAAATGTCCTCAAAAAATTATGTATTAAAAGCAGTCAAATTTAGACAAAACAATCAATTGTTTTTACAAACAAGGTCGTATTGACCATACAAATTTCTAAATGTTGATTTGAAATCGGCGCGCATTCAAAGATTTTTTATCTAATGAAATGTCCTCAAAAAATTTATGTATCTAAAAGCAGTCAAATTTAGACAAAATGCAATCAATTGTTTTGATACATAAGACCCCGTTGAGGCGCAATGTATTTTTGCATCATCAACTCTCCATCACCTTTACATTGAAATTTTCCAGTTGGGGCAATGGAAATATTAACGGGAAACGAAAGGAGATTTTATTTTTTGAAATATTGCTGCTTTACTTAAGATGAACAGTCTAAATGTTTTGTTAAACATGCAATGATTTGTTTAGACATGATAAATCATATTTATCCATAACTTTAAAATACAAAATTCTTTACTTTACATAATTATTTCCCCCAAAGTAGGGTGTTGCGTTTCTTTTGCGTGTCAGTATATTTTTTCTATGGAATTGAAGCCCAAATCAGATTAGATGCATCGAGTAGATTCTGTATTTTATGAATGCAGAAACTGAATGAAGCACAATCAGTATCTATGAGAATTCTAATATATTGTGAAAAGACTTTGCAGGTACAGTCAACGTGAAATTCAAAACTCTTTTTACTTCATCATCTTCACAGTACGGTGCACTTGTGCATAAAATCAGAATGATTTTAACAAAGTTTGTAGAAGATAAGTGACAAGTTAATTTGAAATTTTTGGATGTCAAAAATGTCAAAAAGCCTGGTTGATAACTTCTACATCGGAATATTTGTATATAAAGTTTTGCAAAGTCGTACGTTTCGATGCTATAAATTTTGGAAAAATTTTGTGATTTCAGATTTTCTAAAATTCTTTATGGGATTTTATATTTCATTTTGATTAAAATCGCTTCTCAGATAACTTGTGTCTCAGTACTGCTGACGTTTCTCATTGACTTCTGTTAATATTTTCTTCAGAAGTAAAAAAGAAACTTGGAAGAGTATTTGTCAGCTTTGTACCTTTGTTATTAGTGATTTTTTTAGCATGATAATTCAAATAAAATTTGGTAGTGTTACAAAAATTAAAACTGACATAATGATGTCTACATGTAGAACTTATAATACTATGTCCTTTTAAAATGCATTAAGTATTGTAATATAGGATTTTCAGAGGCGTGTTGTTCCCTGCCTTATCAGTTGGGACAGTACATATTTATCACGTAATCTAGCTAATTTCGTAGACACTTCAGAATTACTGATTAAGAAAGGATAGATTATTCTCATATTATCCATGCCTTTTACCATTTATATAGACTTTTTCTCCAAGGTATTGAAAAATATTATAGATGGGCTTACCTACAAAGAGAAACAATGTTAATTCTCTTTCAAACATTTCAAACGTGATAATTGCCTCCTTTCTTATCTATATTATCTATATTTATCAATGAGATATACAAAGGTTCTTTTCTCAATGCCATTGCATGCATGCAATCATGGTTAGCTTACTTTTTGGGTTAAATTGTTTAGAAAAATAAACTCAGTTTGAATATGCTGTAAAGTAATCATTGCCAGTCATGCAGAGTTGGCTTTTCCCACTGAAAAAAAAAATCCCCGGAAAACTAGTACTTGCTCTAGATTAAGATATCCAATCTCTCAGAAAATGACTCTAGAGTAATGTAGGATTTCCCATGCAGGAATTCAACATCAGAGTCAATTTTTCGGTGGAAAATTCCTATTCTGTGTAATGGTTAAGAAAGCAATTTCTCCAAAAGCCAACCCCCACCATCCAATAAAAATAACATTTCTATTTGTATGTATGAAGGAAAGTGGAAAATACACTGTTACGAATGGCCCTTCTTCAAATTAACACCAATTACAATGAAAATATGAAGAAAGTAAATAATTTTGTTTTGTTTTTTTACCAGTAACTGATTAACTACTTCTTTGTAAATCATTAATAGCTTATTCTTTTCATCCGATGTAACTGGCCTCTAAGAGAAAAAAAACTTGTACATTGTACTTGGTCGATCAATTTTTTACTGTATCCATAGAAGTTTATTTGAAATTAGTTTTTTTTTTCTAAAGTATTTCAAAATACATATAAATAGTATGAAATATATAGAGATAACGAACAGTATTCAAGCTCAAAGTTCATTAAACAATTCAAATTGGTGCAGAGCAGAAACACGGACCTTGAAGGCATCAAAGGTGGGCTCTGGTGCCATGGAGGAGTGAGCATCTCATGATAATCAATCACACCCGCCGTTTGTTTCTTGTCATGGTCGAAAAAAAGGAAAAATCAAATGCCATTCAGTATATAAATAATGGCCTAACAATTAGCTTGAAAAACGTAACCAACCAAAGAACCTACGAAATGATGACGTTAAACGATACTGCTGATATTCTTGTTTCGCCAACTTGTCAATAATTTGCCTCGTTTGAGAAATTGTTCATACGTAGAGCATGCTCCTGAATCAACATAGAGATATAAACACCGTATACAAGTGATGAGGGTATATTGCTGCATAGGTAAGGGAAGTTGACGATAGGAAAGTTATAATCATAAAGCTTGGTTGTTAGATTATTATTAACATCTTTTTCATGTACAATATTCAAATATGAAACAAACATCAGACTGTGATATCTTTCGATAATATAATTAAAATTCAAGTTCACTGTGATATTTCGTAGCGACATAAGAATGGAAACAACGATTGTTAATTGGCTATACGTCGTCGATACATCCAAATGTCGATTTGAGGGCTGCCTAAAATGTTTTTTTCTTTTTCAGTTTTCACGTATAAGTATCTTAGATAGTTGTAGTTGCTATGAAATTAAAAATGGTTTAGTAATTTGAAATTTTACAAAAGTTTAAGAGAGTATTTATTTACTCTCTGCTTTCAAATTTGATACTTTACCCTAGGTGTTAAGGTGATTATGCATGCCGCGGCTTGCAAGAGCAGTGTTTCAGAAATATTACAAAATTCAACAATTCCTAGCTATTAAAATGTAATACGTTCATAGCTTAAATAGATTTCTATTTTCGACAGAAGTCATTTTTAACAACAGCATACGAGGGCATGCTTGGATATTTTACTTGAAAAAGACGTTAATGGTAATCTAACAACCAAGCTATATGATAAACGTGATGACTTTAACCTTTCTATCGTCAACTTCCCTTACATATACAGCAATATACCTTCATCACCTGCATACAGAGTACATACCGGTATATATATCTCAGTTGATTCGATATGCAAGAACATGCTCTACGTATGAACAATTTCTAAAACGAGGTAAATTATTGACAAGCAAGTTGATGAAGCAAGAATATCAGCAGTCTCGTTTAAAGTCATCATTTCGTAAGTTCTATGATCTATACAATGATCTTGTCAGCAAATACAATTTACCATTGAGTTAAATGCTGACTGACGTTTTTCATACTAATTGTTAGTCCATTATTTATACACTGAATTCACGACGGATTTTCCCGTTATTTCCCGATAATGAAAAGGAGCTCACGGCGGGTGTGATCGGTCAGCAGGGGATGCTCACTCCTGCATGGCACCTGATCCCAACTCTGATGTTTCGGAGGTCCGTGTTTGGTCTGCTAGTCTTTTGTATTGTTTTATGGACTTTGATATTGAATACTGCTCGTTATCTCCATATCATTCAATAAATTATGTCCTCGATGCTCAGAAAGAAGCAAAAGACGTTTTTCAATGATTTAGTCTTAATGATTTTATTAACTTAATATTTTCTTTTGATTAAACAGATGTCCGTAATTTTTTATCCAATTTTTGATTGTTTTTAGAACTCATTTTTGGATACGACCCATAGTATACTGGAAAATGGCAGAGCTCATGATTTCCTGGACTCGTATCTTCCTTCTGAAAAGTGTTTTTTTTTTCGAGTTTGGAAAATGAAACAAGTCAAAAGATGAAAGATCTGGCGAATATTGTTAATGTGAAAAAAATTAACTTTCTGTTTATTCCAAAAACTCCTTAACTCTTCAGGGCGTGCGGGTTTGGGCGTATGTCATACAGTTCAGGACATTATTTATTGATCAGCCCTCATAGGACAGAAATGTTTTAAAATAAGTAGATGCCTATCTATGAAAGATGTTTCTTTAGAAAGTAAGGGGCATCGTCATCATTAAAAATATTAATGTTAAATAATATTGCATTTTATTAATCCAACACATTGCAGATGCCAAGGTTGACGATGATTTTCGAGGGGTGAAAATTTTCAATGTTACATTCAACTACATGCAATATTTATTACTGTAAACCAACTTCTATTCCTGACGACTTTATTTCGCGATTTACCAGGTTGAAATTAGTTCGCGAGAATTAATTTTTCGCGAACAAGCCTTTTTGGATCTGTTGTTGTTAGATATATACACTTTAAGGACCAGTTCGCCGCGAGAATTATTCGCCATGACGAGGCTCTAGAAAATTTCTCGCACGCGAATAAAAGTTGGTTTACAGTATCTCATATTGAATGTTTTATACAAATACATATCACAGGAACCTTGCGTGCATAAATTCTGCACAATCAACATTTTTTGGAATATCAACCGTCGTCAAGCATTATTGACTTGCTGGGCTAAATCAATTTACACGATAGTATAAATTTTAGAATAACGTATTCTTAAAAAATGCTCAATAATTATCTGGTGTTTGGTATTATTAGAAATAATATACAACCATAGATAATAAAGAAAAAATGTATTTAAGAGAAAAATAAATGTATGTATTTTCAATGTAACTATTGATAAAACACAGTTTTAAAAAATCATTTTATTCAAATTCCAAGATATTTACTTAAACACTGTCTGTCTTTACAGCAATAAATCTCTCCCGAAGGTAAAGCTTTTTGTATAAAAAGACAATCATCCGCCTGTAAACAAGAGAGAATAAAAACGACAATATAATGAAATGAAATATATATATATATTTTCAAAAACTGTCATTCTTATTTTCGATATAACAAGAGACTGTAGTGAATACAGTAGCTAGAATAAGAAGAATTTCATAATTTTCAAAGTTTGCAAATGTTTACACCTATTTTAATGACCTATACACAACTCTACAGTGTACATATGATTAACAAAAAATAAACAAATGCAAACCAAACACAGAGTTCAAAACATACCACAGAGCAATGGACGGTAAATTTAAATCCCTGGTAGGAGCGAATCATACATGTCTGGTTATCTGGACACGTCCTGTTCCAGGAACAGTTTAATACTTCGTCACAATGGGGGCACTCAACTGGTAAAGTACCTGTAAATTAAACAAATCATATATCAGGTTTAAAAATAAACAAAAATTCGTCATCCCTCCAATCCATCCACTGTTTTATAATTAAAGGACAAGATTTTAAATTATAAGAATAATGATTAAACATTTTGGAAAAATAACCTTTTTGCTAATAATAGAATAATCTAGATCTACATATAGAAAGTAAGTTGATATATTTTTGCAAGCATTGAGTATACTATATATATTTTGAATTAATTTAAAAAAAGAAAAGATAAAATTCATATTTCCGAGTAAACCGAGAAATTCTGTTTCTGTTTAAAGTTTAAAGGCAATTTAATGTATTGAAAGAAAGCAAAAAACAAAAAAAAACAAAAAAACAAAAACAAAATAATACCCTGAGTAGTCCTATAGATCTAGTACAAAAAAAATCATTTTAAGCATATCATAAATACGTACGTAATCCCAATTGTACCTCAACACAGAATCTATCATCACAACATTCGATCTCACCCGCAGGTAAAAAAGATTTTAAGAGCAGGCAATCTTGTTTCTGTAAAAGAGAAAGATCAAAATTATATATATAAAGTTATATATTTCCATATCTATTTTCTCTGTGGCACCTCTTTTAAAGTTAGTTGAGTTGATTTCTTGATCATTCTACAGGAATGTAAATTTCGCCAAGAGATGGGTAAGGAGATAAGGAGATCTTAAATCTCGTGCGGCTGTCGTTGTGTTTGACTTAAGTGGGTGGGTACTATTAAAATTGATATGGGAGGCCTCGTGTAATTTTTTAAATGTATTAGTCTACATTTTTAAAATGTAAATTTACAATTTTATTTCACAATGAAATGGAAATATATGGAATCACTGTCTAGTTAGTAGAGTATGCTAGCGACATCAACGGTAGTTGGAAACGTGGACGGGCTTCGCCCCTTAACCCCTTACATGGCATATACGCATTTCTACGCATCTGACTTGAAAAACAAGTATAGTGTGAAAAAACATTCATAACTTCGTTAATTCTCGAGAGGGACGTTAAACAATATACAATCAATCAATCATAACTTCGTTAATACTGGAAATATCAGAATTAAATATTGCACCGTTTGAAAGAGAAAATAAATACGGTAAAATAATATACAAAAAATATTTTTATTGGTTGTACGAGTTTTTTGCTAACTTGAGTAAAACTTTGCGCACTATTTGAGCGATTTTGCCGTTATCGAAATCAATGTTAGGGTAACAGGTATATGTAAAAATGCTAAATTCTGGTGTTTACATACCAACCCTACCCAATCCCACAAAATACTTAAAATTGGTTTGTAAAAAAAATTGTACAACATGTTCATAACTTTCAACACAACAATAAAATATTTTTAAAATAATATATTTAACAAAGCAAAAAAAACTAAAAATAAAACTCATTATTTAAATAATGGAAATTCCAGCATAATTATGGTGTATTTCATTGCCATGGCAACTGAAATGAAATTTTTATAATAATTTTCAGAAACAACACAGTACCTGCTTTCAGAATATATACTCAGTATACATTGGTATATACAAAAATTACAAGAAATACCCCAAAATATGCATTGAAATCGTAATATCAATTTATCTAGAAATGCTTTAAATCTTTGCCATGGAAGGGGTTAAGCAAATTATGCCACATTTCCAACTATCGTTGATGCCCTGGCATACTCTACTAACTAGACAATGATTCCTTTAATCAATCCCAAACACAAGAGGCATGGTGCACAAAACTTAAAAGTACCTTCAACTATAAAGCATGTCGACTCGCAACGTTGTATGACTTTGAACACATATAATGAAATCAATATACGATAAATATGAAAATTTGTCACTGGCACTACGAATATCTTGAAAATATATAATTATACTGCTGACAAATGAAGATGAGGACATACCACAGAGCAATGGAGTGTATGATCTGAACCTTTTGGGGATCGAATCGTACACGTCTCAGAACCTGGGCAGGTCCTGTTCCAGTTGCAGTTCATTGAGCTGTCACAATAAGGACATTGGGCACCTGCGTTTGCATCTGCAAGAGAATCATTGGTACAGTAATTACAAGATTTCTACATAGAATGGAGATAAATATAAGAATAAGAATTCAAATATAATTTACTTCATCAAGGATCGTGCAAAAAAAAAAAAATCATTTTTGATTCATTGACCTCATTATTTTTTTCTCAGGAAGACAAATGATCTGGGTAATAAATTCACCTGTGGTCGTCGAGGTAGTTGTTGTGGCTGTTAATGTTGTTAATTGTGTCGTTGTTGTCGTTGGCTTTGTCGTTGGTTTTGTCGTTGGTGTCGTTGGCTTTGTCGTTGTTGTCGTTGGTTTTGTTGTTGTCGTTGTAGTAGTAGTAGTTGTCGTTGTTGCTGTTTTGTTGAAAATTACGATATACAATGTAAAGTGAAACCAAAAAAAAATTGAATTGAAAAATTACTTTTTACCGTTTTTAATGAATATGAAGAATATTAATTTGAGTGTCTATGACTATCCATGCTTCTAGGTGTTTGTATGTCATTCAACCAATTTTTTTTTTCGAACGATATTGCTTCCTCAAAATTACTTCGATCTCTGCAATAAAATCTTATATCACATCTCCCTAAGACTTTAGAAAACACTGTTGACTTAAGGAGAAAAGGTCAAAGGTCAAGATAAGAAATTCAAACGTTCTCTCTGAGATAATCACATTTTTAAAGGTTTTGCAATGATATTTTTATCAAATCTCCTTATAGTGTTTAAAAGACACCTAATTGATTTGAAGGTCATATGTCAAATTCAGAAAATCCTATATTTCAAAAAATGTTACCAAATGATAACTTTAGTTAACTTTTTCAGCTTTTCAATGACATTTTAAGACAGTGTTGTTCTCACTTTGACTGCTCTAATGGTTATTGATTGGGTTAATGAGCTGCAGCATTAATGTGTTATCCGAGGTTGGTACATGTATATTTACAGAGTACATTAACTAGTACTTCAATGTTCTAGATTCACATGAAACATATCTTGAAGAGCTCAATACTGTATACATGTACAGTGTTTTTTTTCGCCCCTGGTTATTTTCGCCCTTTTGCACTTGCATACAATTTTGCCCCGTTTTAAATTCGCGCAGTCATAGTTCTGTTTAAGAAATTATGCTTCTGTGTATCCCGTGTTAAATTCACCAAACCATATAGAGGGCGAAATCGACGAAAATAAGACGGGGGCGAAAATGTCCATGTATACTGTAGTTAACGTCTATATATGAAAGGTTTCCTGTCTCAAAATTTACTTTATGATTCATTTGACTAAAAACCTTATAAGTAAACGCATTTACTGAAAGTCATTAACCAGAGAAAAGGAAATCGACAAATATTTTTAAGAACAAAATAATGATACATTTTTCTTTAAAATTTGGTTTTAACCCACACTTACTGCATGGATCGGGATTGCAGTGAATGTCAACTTCAAATAAAGATCCCGTACAATTCTTCCCGCCATGTTGTGGTGGAATACACGCCCGAGTTCTTACCTTGGTTCCACCACCACAGCTATAACTACATGGTGTCCAGCTTCCCCAGGCAGTTAAGGTCCCATCCACTATATATTTCATATCAATTTAACAGGTTTTAATTAGAAAGCATGTAGAAAAAAATTATGAACAAATGTATATGATTTTTTAATAAATGATTTTAGCAGAAATTCTATTTTTAACAAGCTTAATGACCTGGACAAATGTGTGAGCCGCATTGATGTACTTCTTGTGTATCTCCATGACATGAGCCCGCTACTTGGCAGGTTCTAGTTCTTACTCTCACACCCGCGCAAGTGGCTGTACACTGACTCCATGCCTGCCATTCGTTGAATTGACCACTTACTGGAGAAAATAAGAGCTGACATTTATGGCACGCCAAATTCACAAACATGAGCTAAACATAGTTTCACGGTCGATAAACTAGATTTATCGGTTGTAAACTATAGTTTACGGACTGTAAACTTAATTAACAACGTTTATCTACATTTTGCATCTGTAAACCATAGTTAACGCGATAATCTGTTTCAGAACCGTAAACTATACTTAACACTGAAAACAATCATTTGCGATCGAAAAACATAGATTATCTGATAAATACAGTTTCACGAGTTGTAATCCATAACGAGTTGTAAACTATGGTTTACAACTCTTAACTATAGTTGGCGATCTGATAAATATAGTTTCACGATTGTGAAACTATGATTAACAACTCCTAACTATAGCTCATGATTGTAAATTATAGTTTACAGACGTGAATTCATGTTTATCAACAAAATCTATTGTTAACGTTTTATTACAGACAGATAAATATGGCACGCCAAATTCACAAAAATGAGCTAAACATAGTTTCACAGTCGATAAACTAGGTTTATCGGTTGTAAACTATAGTTTACGGACTGTAAACTATAGTTAACAACGTTAATCTATATTTCACATCTGTAAACCATAGTTAACGCGATAATCTATGTTTCACAACCCTAAACTATACTTAACACCGAAAACAATCATTTGCGATTACAAAATATAGATTATCTGATAAATACAGTTTCACGATTTGTAAACTATAGTTTACACACCGTTAACTATGGTTAACGATCTGATAAATATAGTTTCACGATTTGTGAAACTATGATTAACAACTCTTAACTATAGTTTACGATTGTAAATTATAGTTTACAAACGTGAATCTATGTTTACCAACAAAATCCATTGTTAACGCTTTATTACAGACAGATAAACTTAGATTAGCATTCGTAAACTATAATTAACGACCGTTAAATATAGTTTTTCAGATGAAAGCTATAGTTAACGAATTGTTAACTATAGTTTACGGTTTGTAAACTATAGTTTACAGTCGATAAACTCAGTTTATCAACTGTAAAATTATGTTTAGCTCATTTTTTTGAATTTGGCGTGCCATAGATAAACTTAGATTAGCATTCGTTAAAGACAGTTTTAACGATGAAAACTATAGTTAACTAATTGTTAACTATAGTTCACGGTTTTTAAACTATAATTTACAGTCGATAAACCTATTTTATCAACTGTGAAACTATGTTTCGCTCATTTTTGTGAATTAGGCGTGCCATAGAATTTCTTAATGCATTTTAAAAGGATCGTTAACGGTAATTTCAAATAATCAAATGTATATTTGTCTTCTAAGTCCAAGTAAGAAGTTAGCAAAGGTTTGCTAAAAGAAGTTTAGTTTTTCCTGCTCGCCGAGTACCATTTTCCTACTTTTCTTCAATTTTTGGAAGTTTAAAATTAAAAAAAAGATCTTGTACGACCATTAAGATTTTTCAAATAAAAGGCTCTGTATTTTTCTATAGAAAAATTATGAACAATAGATAAAAATGTTAATTTTAAAACTAATGAAAATGAGAATGGCAAAATGAGTAAAAAGAATCCCTCAACATGCAATTCAGATTCAATGTAATTGTATTAAATGTTAAACTTTGCGGTATTAGAACGTTTTTTAAAAATATTATTTCTGTGAAATGAAAAAATGAACCACTTAGGCTTTTCAGAAAACCTTACTTTATTTATGTGGGTTGCAAAATACAACCAATGTTAATTTTAGAGCTTATATTTTCGATTTTAAAATCATACAATTCAGTTACACGAGTAAAATTTTCATATGAAATGTAAGAATGATCTCAGTAATTCCAGTAAACAAAATTCATTGTGAACAGCGTGCAGAACATGTACATCCCTAGAAACACCAACTGTGGGATCAGGTGCATTGGATTAATAAGGAATCCCTTTTGTCCGGTCTCATCTGCCTTGATACCTATGCATCGATCAAGTGTAGGAGTACTTCTTTGTCAAATTTATTATGAAAAGCAGCACCAGACAATTTTTTTGAAACAAGGCAGATAAAGTACGACCCAAAGTAGTTTGTATGTACTATGTCATACCGTCAAATACAGCAAAGCTTCAATTGGATTGTTAAAGTTCTTGTAAGATCTACTTCTTTGCCATTAGTCTGACTCTGTTTTTGAATATATCTTACTCGGAGTTCTAATCAGTTTGAGAAGCATTGAAACAATATGGAGGTTCAATATCATTCTATTATTAAATATGGGAAGTTGACGATGGACAAGCTGCGATCATTCCGTTGGTGGTAGAGTTTGGTTACAGCTGCCCGTTATCGTATATAGTCAGAAAATATTCAAATATGAAACAGATTTACAGACTCTGTGGTGTCTTTTACTTCAACTTCAAAGAGTTCCATGGTATCGTAAATCGTGTTTCTCTAACATTTAGGGTAATTTTATCATTAGAATTCTTTTCGGGTAACATTCGATTTACGAAGAAACAGTAATGATGGTAAAAAGTTTAACAATAAATGACTTAACTTTTCATGGCAAAATTTACCGCCTCAGACACATAAAAATCGATCAGACGGTGCTGTGGCATTCTTGTAATTTAAATCTCAAATTGCAACCTTATAAAACTCTATAAATTATACCGAAATTTTAATTACTATCATTCGCCTATCCAAAGGAACATCCCTTATGAGACTTTGACATAAATTGTTGTAACTTACCATGGCATGGATCCGAATTGCAATGACTGTTCACTTCAAACAAAGACCCAACACAATCGCTGCCTCCATGTTGTGGCGGAATACACGTCCGAGATCTCATCTGGGTACCGCCTCCACAGCTAGCACTGCAAGCGGTCCAGCTTCCCCAAGCAGTTAAAACGCCATTCACTGAAATTCAACTCAAAACTTTAAAGAAAAGAAAAATATATGGAAGTAAAATTCAAAAGCACACCAACAAATACACTACCGATCAGCTTGAATGGTATAGTAACTATAGTTATATTTTCGTTGTATGGATAATTGTGAATACCTGGACAATGATGTGCACCACAGTGAAGAATTTCTGTTGTAGATCCGTGGCAAGAACCGTCAATGTTACAGGTGCGATATCTCAGTCTTATACCCTCACATGTTGCTGAACATTGACCCCATGGCTGCCATTCACTGAATTTAGCTGCTGGATAAAATGAAAACCTGAAGTAACGAGTGAACTTATGTACGAGTTACTAAGGGATTGCCAGATTCTATAATTAGATATAGAGAGACTTTCTTCCCGCCAGCCCGTGCAGAACTGTAGAACTTTGATAACTGTGTTTTCATAATTATTTGTATTTTGCTTGCTTTGTACTGGCTTTGTACTTGTGGTTACAGAATACATTCTAAACTAAGTATAAGGTGTATTTTTCATTTATTGCATATTTCAATAAATGACCTTTTTTATTCTTTAAAGAGGAGTTATGTTCTTTTTGATGTGGATGGCAAGGCAAGCAGACATAAAAACAATTTATGTTAATAAAGGATTTATGTATGTTGCCTATTTTCTGATGTGGAGATTTCCCCTTAACCAGCGATATTTTTAGCTGGCTTATTTACATAATATACTACTGCGCATGCGCTATTTCTCTCAAATTTCGGAAGAAAATTGTGTGTTGTGTGTATGTTACTCATTATGTTTGCTTTTTTTCAGATTGACACCATTCTTGAGACCCATTTGGTTATATGTTTTATGTCAATCATGCCATAATTGTATCTAGTCATTTGATGTAACTTTTTGTTGCTCTCAGGTACAAACTTGATTTTATTTGTCTCTTTACTACTGATGTTGATGTATATAATTTTAGTTACTTTTTTACATGTTTTTATATTGTGCTTTTTTGATCCATTGTCATATATTGCATATTTCAATAAATGACCTTTTTTATTCTTTAAAGAGGAGTTATGTTCTTTTTGATGTGGGTGGCAAGGCAAGCAGACACAAATATATTAGAATTCTAAAATTCCTGTCAAGCAAAATGATGTATACATGTATTTGATAAGAACAAGTATGTAATTTTTAGCTCAATATTTTATGGAAGAAAATTGTGTGTTGTGTATACATCTTTGGTTTGCTTTTCATTGGAAAGTATACAAACAATAGAATATTGACTCCAAAAAATGCTTCAAATAAAATACTCGTAATTTGAATGATGGCTTGTTCTCGAATGTAAGAAAAGTTGGGATCAAAACCAAAATGGGTATATATAGTCATTTACATACAATCTGGGGTCACGCAGGAGAAAAATTGATTTTTTAAATTTCGTTTTTTTCAAATGTGAATAGTGCAGATAACGATCAGGGCCTGGTTGCTCAAAAGGTAGTAAATTTAACCAACTTTTTTACAACTGGACCCAAATATTCAACCTCAAAGTCCTTAAAACAATACAAAATAGGAGCAGAGTAAACACGAACCTCCAAATTACCAGAGGTCGGATCAAGTGCCAAGGAGGGGTAAGTATCCCCTGCCGACCGGTTACACCCGCCATGTGCTCCTTGTCATGTAGGGAAATAACGGGAAAATCCCTCGTCAATTCAGTATGCAAATAATGGCCTAACAATAAGTATGAGAATGGTCAGTCAGCATTGGACTCATTGATAAATTATATTAGTTGACAGGGTCGTCGTTATCTACCATAAACCTTACGAAATGATGACTTTTAACGAGACTGCTGATATTCTTGCTTCATCAACTTTTCTGTCACTGATTTACCAGTACCTTGTTTTAGAAATGGTACATACGTAGAGCATGCTCTTGCATATCGAATCAACTGAGAGATATAATGCATGGATGCAGGTGATGAAGGAATATCTTTAACAAATTTATAAACGGGATACAATATGGACCTCTCGGGAATTGTAGAGGTGGGATCGGGTACATAGGAGAAGTAAGCACTCATTTAAATATAAACTTAAAATTATAGATTTAGTTTAGAAATGTGTGTGTGTGTATGGGTATTAAAAAAAAGAAAAATGACTCATGAAATATAATAAATTATTTATGACATACCTGTTGTTGTCGTTGCCTGTGTAGTAGTAGTAGTTGTTGTTGTTGTATCTAAGATATACATATATGATAATGAAAAAGAGAAAAGAATTCTTTAAAAAAAAATCTTTGGCCTTTTTCTAAATGTTATCCGCATATTTTTTTTCACATGCAAGTAGCAGATGTTTTTGAAATATTTATACCTGTATTTTTAGGCATCTAATGTTATCTAAGGGCATATAAATTACAGTGTAAATTTTTAATTCATATATGAAGAAAATACTTTTTCCTTCAGTAAATGTTGCTTTTTAACTGAATGGTACTCACCAGCACAATAACAACTTGAGTGAAAACACTGAGGAGTTTGGTGAGATGAACAATGTGAGTATCTACAATCATGGTCTGAATAACACGCTGGAGGCTGGCCTATGCAAGAAAATATTTAATTTTCCATGCACTTATTTATATGACATTAACGTATCATGTCCAACCAGTAACTCTTACCAAAATGAAAAGTACATCCATAAGAAATTTCATCTACAGAGAGTCATTATTCCATGTGGGTATTTTTCCTTGACGTAGGGTTTGTTTAAGATAAGATAATTTTATTTTCCACATTTGGGCTCAGAAGGCAAACAAGCTTTTTTAACAATGGTAAGATAGGTTCTGAATGAAAGGTTACATACACACAGATAAACACACACATATATAAACATGCATATACATGCATATGATATGATCCATACAAGTAACATTTAGATGCAACAATTGGGGTTATCAAACTATTTCAAAGGAGTCACTGGAAGTCATATTTCGACAAGTCGAATAATGGCTTGGTAGTCATTTTTCTAATTTGAAAATAAATTCTGGACTTTCGTCATCTTAACATATGAAAGTCAAACCTACCATAATTGTAATTGTTGTCTATATCAAATTTATGAGGTTAGGAAGCATTCTGCTCGCCCTCTTGAAAATTAAAAAAAAGGGCCTGGGTTTGATATTAACGCTTACTGACACGTACTGGTTATGGAACTTATGATAAATATTTTTTTTAAGTTCCTTCAACAATGTACATGTATATACAGATCGATGATATATGAGATGTACAATATTTAACATACTAGTACTTTACCCTCTTTATATGAATAATTGATGGAGACATAGGAACAACAAAAGGTCTTTCTTGTAATGATTCATCTCTTTGTAGACATACAAAGAAAACATTGAATAGTAAGTAATCAAAATAACGTACGGGTGCAGGCACATGTGGAACTTAGGCAGGTTGGACTGTAAGGATGACCACACATTTCGGCAGGACATTCTTCTCCGGGAGGATGGTGGGGGTCCCGCCGCCTTACATGTGAACCACATGCTGGAACCCTGATATCTAAAAAGGAATTAAAACGATGAACTTTCATGAAATACTAAATCAACCAATAAGATGAAATAATGGACTTTCATAAATCGTTGAAAGAGCTATTTTCCATCGGCTTCGCCTAAACATTAAGATGATATGTAGCTGCAATAATGTACCCCTCTCCGACAGGGCTAATTTTTGAATCTAGATGAAATGCATCCTATGAAATGGTATAGGAAAGGTTCCGTAAAACATTGCTTCGAAATGACAGAAGAGTTTGAATCTTTAGTTAACTCCAAAGAATCTTAAGATAAGTGTATGAGGTAGAGAATGCGGACATTGAGAAACAATGACGTCATGCAACTAAATGGCGACCGCGTCGGGTGAACAAATAATGTCATTTTATTTTATGATAATTTGGTAAATATCTAAGGTATCAAGCTAAAATTTTCAACATTTTTTTAACTTCTGTTTTATGTTCCTTAAAATTTTGTAAACATAAACTTCATAGTGTTAATTTTATCGCATCTGTCTACGAACTTTTCGAACAACCCCCGCATATTATTCCAAAGATTAAAAAAGACATGCAAATAATTTGAATGAATAGAAAATTTTTTGTGAAGAAATTCGATAAATTCATTTTCCCTATAAATTCCTTTAAAAACGTAAAACCTTTGATGGCCTAAATATTTAAGGTATCTTCCAAGCTAAAATTTTCAACATTTTTTAAACTTCTGTTTTATGTTCCTTAAAATTTTGTAAACATAAACTTCATAGTCTTAATTTTATCGCATCTGTCTTCGAATTTTTCGAACAACCCCCGCATATTATTCCAATGATTAAAAAAGACAGGCAAATAATTTGAATGAATAGAGGATTGACGATTCTTGGTAAATAAATTCTATTCTCATTTTGTCCGTCGTCCGTCCATCTGTCTGCCCGATTTTCACATTTTCGACTTCTTCTCAAATAAAAGAGAAATTTAAATTGTAAAAATAAAGGGCCAAGTCTCCTCACAAGGGGAGATAATCAAGAAAAGACAAAAATAGGGTGGGGCCATTAAAATATATTCTTCTCAAGAACCACTGGGCCAGAAAAGCTTAAACTTACGTGGAAGAATCACAAGGTAATGTAGATTCTAAATTGTTGAAAATAATGACCCCTGGGGGAAGGGCGGGGCAACAATAGGGAATCCAAGTTTTACATTGATGTATATAGGAAAAATCTTTAAAAATATTCTTCTTAAAACCTTAAGGTCAGAAAAGCTGAAACTTTTGTGGAAGCATTCTGGAGTAGTGTAAATTTTAAATTGTACAAACTATGACCCCCGGGGATAGGGACAGGGCCGCAATAGGAAATCAAAGTTTTACATTGAACTCTATAGGAAAAATCTTCTCAAGAACTGCTGGGCCAGAAAAGCTGAAACTTATATGGAAGCATCTTGGGGTAGTGTAGATTCTAAATTGTACATATCATGGCCCCGGGGTTAGGGTGGGGCTGCAATAGGGAATCCAATTTTACATTGAAATATATAGGAAAAATCTTTAAAAATCTTCTCCTTAAGAACCATCGGGCCAAAAAAGCTAAAACTTATGTGGAAGCATCCTGAGGTAGTGGGATTCTAAATTGTCTAAATCAAGACCCCTTGGGATAGGGTAGGGTCACAACAGGCATTACAAGGATGGTCATCTGGTAAAGAAGAGCAATGGCCAAATTTACTCAGGTGAGTGATGTGACCCATGGGCCTCTTGTTATATTTAGTTCCATTTATGTTTCATGAAAATTAAGTTGTTACCCTTCATGCAGTGACATTTTCCAACGTGACAGACACGTCTGTTAGCATGTTCATGTTCGGGACAGTGCATATTGACGCAGTTCCTGTCGGAAGTGCAATGTATAGTATCATGTGGCGGGGCATCTGAAAGATATAACAAGTAATAGACATTTTAACTTTTAAATATTGAAACTAAATAAGGTATATCTTCATGTTTTTTGATATATTCCTTGCATCTTTATTAAAGTCGATCGGTCTTAGCATTCGATAATGGTAATGTTCGAAGCTAGATAAAGTGATCTGGTCCGTATTTCTGAAGATGGTTCAAATTTAGATCTGTATTCGGCACTTACGCATACATTCACATGTATTTTGAGATACATGACAATAATGATGAAATGGTCTTCCACATCCTCCATAATCACACTCAACATCTCTTGTACAGTATTTAGATGTACCTAATATGTAAAAAAAAATATTACAATAATCAGAATTTAGTATTATATTACATATATACACACTCTTAATTTGAGTCTAAATTAGTTGTAATTGTATTTACCTTTGAATATTTGAGTATTTTAATATGTCACATTTGAAAAGAAGAGGGGAATTTTTTAGTGCAACGCAAATACACTAACCCAAAACCATGCTCATCAACTTGATAACTTACATACTAGTTATTGAATTAATATTATTTTTTCACTATCTTAAAAAAATTTTAATATTTTTCTAGTGCGAAGCAAATACACTCATATATGCTCAACAACTTGATAATCTACATAATTGAGTTCATGTGATTTTCAAAAAATTCAAATACATATTTTTTAATTTCATTTTCATGACGTTTTTCTCTCAAAGAAAAATAATACACACCCATTCATTAGGCTTTCTCTAATTCGAATCCCTTTTGAGATTTACTAAACAGTTTTGCTGTAGATAACCATATTTTTGTGATCCCTTTTTCTTGCAAGATAGTTATTGAGTATTAATTACCGAGATTTTTTTCTCTCAAAATTTTCATGATCGCATAAAATCTTCAACCATACAAATATTTAAACGAGATTAAAATGTTTGCAAGAAGACAATTTTGCGTCATTACGTCAAAGGTATTGCCAAAAAACATTGATTTACTGTAGCAAAGAACACCGTTTGCTTAAAATATACACATTGACAATTCTTATAATTTAATTTTCTAACACAAAAAAATGTTGACGTTTAATAAAGTTTAGTTATATAAATTCTTCAAAACAGTACTTGCATTACAGCAACATAAAGAATGACCTGCTATTACTTTCAATATCACAATATTATACTTTCAATGTGATTCGGTTTGCTTACCCAAAAAAATATACAAATTTTCTCCATATATTATATGAACTCTACAATTAGAGAACCATGGGCCTAAATGCTCACCTGAGACTATTAACCATACTATTCTTCAAAAACTTGATTCAAAAAGATTTTGATAGTCCATTGAAAAATTCTGACCCGATATACATGAAACAGCATTACTTAATTTTAAGGAGTGTTTCAAACCATATACCATCGTAATATCATTGCAAAGGCAATTTCGCCACATATGATTCACATATGAGTTATATGGTCTTATATTGCAGAAGCAGAAACAATTCTTTTCCTTTAAACGCGATTCCGTACAATTTTATCCTGATTCTTGCCAATTCTAAATCGAGAGCCATAATTAAAAAGAATAAATTTTTAGACAACTGGTAATGTTTGCAAACAAATGGTTCTACGTGACATTTTTTGAGGGGGGATTTCAAGAAAAATTAAATAGTTATATGTCAAAACCTTGATCTCTCATTGTGGTCCTTATCAACCCCCGGGCCATGAGTTTAGAAGCTACACCACCTCAGACCTTTACGTAGTTTTCACGTTTTCTGGACCAGAAGTTCTTTTTTAAAGAGAAAAATAAAGATTTAAATAGATTATTGTCTAAAAATTTCCACAAAAGTTTCATGATTTTAGTTAAGTGGTTCTTGAGAAGTGTATTTTTACAGAATTTTCATATATTTTTCAATGGAAAATTTTGCCCCTTTATTGTGGCCCTATCCGTCCTCGGGTTTCATATTTAGAATAACTTACAAACTCCATTATGTCTGAATCTTCTAGTACAATAGGTCTTGAGAAGATTTTGAAGGTTTTTCTTACATACTTAAAATATAAAATTTTGAACCCATTTAGTTGTGGCCCCATTTTGCCCTCTAGAGGGTCCAGATGTGAATAATTAAGAATCTACGTATCTTGCTTCCATATTCGTTTCATCTTTTATGGCCCAGTGGCTCCAAAGGAGAATGTTTTTAAATATATATAATTGAATAATTTAGGATCTACACTTTCTCAAGACGCTTCCAAATGTTTCACCCTTTCTTGCCCTCTGATTATTGAAAAGAATATTTTTAAAGATATTTCGTAAATATTTCAAAGCAAAGTTTCCATCCCCTATTGTGACCCCCTCCCCCCAGGAGTCAGGGTTGGAAAAAATTAGAATTTACACTTTTCCAGAAAGATTCCACCTTCTTTTTTTACTGGTCTAGTATTCCTGGCAAAGAAAACTTTTTATGGCCCAAACCCTATTTTTATCTTTTCTTAATTATCTTTCTTTGGAAGTTATCTTGGCCTTTCCTTTGAACATTTTTCTATTCCCTTTAGCCAAATATGATTTGTGCCAACTTTTGTTATTATTATTAGTCCAGTGGTTTTTGAGAAGCATGTTAAAATAAGAAAAGTTTACAGATGAAAGAATGGAATGACAGACAGACGGGAAGATGGACGCCGGACAACGGGTGAGCAGAAAAGCTTCCTTCAGTTTTAGCTCAGGTGAGATAAAATCAGTGGGTGTAACTCACGTTTGCAAACGCATTTGGAATGAAGACAGATCGGAGAGTCGCCCGAAGAACAGATTACTCTTCCACAATCAGAGTCGTGAACGCAACTAGATGACAACTGATGTGTCATCTCTGAAAAATAAAACCAAAAAGATAAAAAAAAATAATCTTTATTATATTAAGGTATCAAGAAATGCACATTTCAGAGTTCCCATAATCAGAATTATGAAGGCAACTTAGTGACGATTGATACTCTCTGAAAAAAGCCAAAAAAGATCAGATATGTAAAAATCAAATTTATATCAGAAAACTCTAATTTTAGGGGGAAAACAATTGTCTTTATTGTCAAAAGCATGGACACAGTTTATCTTGAGGAATAAAGTGTTGAAATTTTTAGTGCGACTTTTTGTACAAGAAAAGTGTGATTTCAATATTTTGAAATGTTGTCTGTATTTTATGCAAAATGGAGATGGTGATACATCTAAAATAGCAATGATATTTCAATAAAACAATATGTGCAAGTTTGCAAAACAGAAAGAAAACAATATTTGGAACAACCTTTAGTAATAAGTGCTCATTCTGGCTTTTTTTTTTTTATCTATAAGTCACACGTAAACGCTTCTGTTCTTCAAAATCATTATCTACACTCATGTACCTTTCTATCACACATTGTTCAATAACCTGAGATAATCTAAAAATAGCAAGGTTCCTTGGTCCACCGACTAAATGTGTCCACATCACTACAGTGCATTACTATACATGTACTTTATAAATAATCCATATAAACCTTTTTTTAAATTATGTTCTTGTATCTAACGTAGTTTTCATGAAGAATATATCAATCCAAGAACTGGAGAAAATGCAGAACATTAAATTATTAAATATATTCTTCGAAACTATCAGTATATTGAATGATTTTAAAGAACATCGAAAACACACGTGACTTTCATGCCCAATATTATATAGAGTTGTACATAAACTAAATTTGTATTAGTTATGTAAAATCTCGACATGATATCTTAATTACTAGACTTTTGTCAAGAAATTAAAGAGTTTTAAGCTTTGTTTTTAATTTTTACAAAATCAAATATTACATAGTACCATATGGTCTATACACACAGTGTTCTAGATGATTCTGATTGGTCACTATAAATAAAATAATTAGTATCAAACATTTTAATTATGCGTGTCTGTAAATAAACAACTAAGCATACCTATAAACTGGAGAAAAATAAGCCATTTCCATATCATTTTCTCCTTGTTTGGTGATCAGTTCTTGTTATCAGTTACTATCAATTATATTTATGGACATAGACTTTTGAAGGCCGTATCATATATTAATGTTATTCTGTGAGAGAGAAAAAATATCCTAGGTATTATTTCAGTTTCCTTACATTTTTTCAACTGAACACGATCATTTGTATTATAGAGAAAGAACTATTTTAGTACAGATTTGAAATGTATTGTTCAAAACAATTCATGTGGAGATAACGCGTTTTCAATCTTAAAAAGGTTATTCTAACTATATAAATCAGGAGCAGAACAAACACGGATAACTAAAACATCAGAGGTGGGATCAGGTGCCATGAAGGATTGAGCATCCCCTGTCGACCGATCACACCCACCGTGTGCTTCTTGTCATGATTAGGGAAAACGAAAAAAACCTAGACAAATCAGTGGGTAAATGATGGACTAACAATAGTAAATTGCCATGCAGCATATGTACCGACCAAAAAACTTGTATAGATTATGTATATTTCATATGAAGCATTACACATTTTCTAAAATATCATCTTTTGGTTGCGCTTGTTAGTAGTAAATTGACTTTAATAGCAACATTTAAAAAAAAAAAAGAATGATCTATCAACTGCATAAATAGCACACATTTTGTCGTAAATCATTAAGAAAAACAAGGCAATCAAAAATTTACATATTATGTAAATTTACATCGAAGAAAATATTGATTGTTTTGCAAAAATGTTCACCATAAATGTTTTCCAATATGTTTAAAAAAAAAAGAACATTGCCAACTGCTTTTTAAAAATCAAAATTTTAATTTTAGATGCTTAGAACAGAGATTTGAAAAAAATGAATACTATAAATTTCAATAAAATTGTACAATGAAACATTAACTTCGTATTTTCTGAAAGAAACCTGATATCAATGACGTGACATTCCCAAAATTTTATCTATGTACTTTTTTTCAAAAGTGAACTTTTTTGAAAACCATTTTAAAAACTTAAATTAAGTGTTAAATTTGATAACTATTCTGTTTAAAGATTTTTTTATATATATTTTTTATAACTTTAACTAAATTAATAAAAAACACTTTTTTAAACGAAACAAAACACTTCGTGTTTAACCATGTCCATCAATCCATCCATCCATCAATCAATCAAATACAGTGGCATGTATATTTATAATTGGTAAGCCTGTACTTATGTCTACATTTTAAAAAGAAGAAAAGAACTACGTGTACTAGTAGTCTTTACTCTTTACAGAAATATTTGCAACTTACCACAGACACATTTTCTGTGAACACAACTGGGCTGTCACTCGTAAAGGTTTAAACACCTGTGGCTGTATGTGCATCTTAATATGTCAGGGAACTGGCACTTTTGACTGTGTGTACAATTTTTTTCAGGGATCAGAAACGATTCTGTAAAATAACAAGTAAGAAAATATTGTTAACTACAGAAAAGTGTTGTTTTTACTGCTGTCTGTTTGTGAAAGTATACGTTCATTTACTGCCTCTCAATTGTTTTTAATTTATCTTATTCTTACTAGGGCTATTCAATAAATAATGTTCTCGGTGCTCGGAAAGCAACAAAAAAGCTTTCCAATGATTTAGCCTTAATGATTTCACTTAAATATTCTATTTTAAATGAAACATACGTCCATAACATTTTTCCAATTTCTGATTGTTCTTAAAACACATTTTTGAGTATTGCCCTTGGTATACTGGAATATGGTAGATCCTTTGTTTTCCTGGACATGTTTCTTCTCTCTGAAAAGTGTTTTTTCAAGTTTGGAAAATGAAACAACTCAAAATGTGAAAAACATGTTTATCCCTAAAGTACTTTACTCTTGTGGATGTGGAAGTTGTCATGAAGAAATTAAATGTAGTGGATTCCTGATTCTGGTTCCATTATATCATTTTTGTTCACTGAAATCTACATGCTTATGTGTCTATAAAGCAGACATTGGTTGCTGTAAATTTCACATATTTCAGAGAATATTTCTTTGCGATTATTAACGAGCTTTACAGCAGCTTGTATGATGCGTTTAATTTCACTCTTGTTTACTGATTCATTACCATTCATTTATAAAGCAGTGTCTGGATTAGCCCTTGTTTTAAAGCTTCTCATAATGAAACTATGTGATGAAAAGTGGTCAGATAAACTGTTTCAATTCATTAAATATGCAATCATAGGAGAAAGTCAAGCTTAATGTCATATGATTTCTATATTGTATTTCATAGAGCTCGGGACATTATTTATTGAACAGCCTTCAATTATAAATTTTCCTTCAATAACAAAATTTAGTTCTATTCCTACGCTAGTTCGACACTAATTAATCTCGTTATAAAGGAGAAAGAGTCTGACTCATCTATTTCATATTTAAATGTTTTACTGGAGAAAGATGTTGATGGCAAGTTGAAAAACCAAAAATTATGATAAACGTAATGACGTGAACTTTCTTTAATTAACTTCTTCTATTTATCATAAAATGTCTATTTTGTTGTTTATTTCACTGAATTAATTTTTTTCAACTAATAATCAACATACTTGGAAGCCATAGTATTTATTAACAAACCTGAAAGTGGAAGAAAAAGACACGTGAAAATCCCTATCCAAACCATTTTCATGCGTTGCTAGTCGTTGTCTCTTATCTGCTCTCAAATAGTATTAAAAAGCCAGTGTATTTAGAGATCAAGTGCATTGGTTTGACTCTACTATGTTGATTATCAGCGTTCATTGGTAAGAATATAAGAATGTTCGACATCTGCAGAATATGAATGTAAATAACGAACATTATTCAAGCTCAAAATTCTAAACACAATATAGGAGAAGAGCGAACACCAAAAGCGCAGAGATTGGATCAGGTGCAATGGAGAAGTGAGCATCCCTTGCTGACCGTTCACACCCGCCGTGTGATTCTTGTCATGATCGGGAAATAACGAAAAAGAATTTGTCGACAATTAAATGTGTACGTAATTACCTTACAATTAGTATGAAAAACGTCAGTCAGCATTTGTCAGCAACATAAATTGTACTTGCTGACATGGACATTGTATCGATCAAAGAACTTATTAAATGCTGACTTACAACGAGACTGCTGATAATCTCGTTTCAGCGACTTGTTTGTCAATACCTTACCTCGATTAAAAAATTATTCAGACATAAAGCATCATATTAACTGATAGATATAAACTCCGTGTGCAGGCGATGAAGGTATATTGTTGCATAGTAGGGAAGTTGACGATTGAAAAGTTAAAGTCATCTCGTTAATCATAAAGTTTGGTTATTAGATTACCATTCACGTCTTTCTCAAGTAGAATATCTAATATGAAAGAGATGTATGAAATACTCTGTGGTATCTTTTATTTCATCCTCATATCGTATGAATTTTTCACACTAAATATTAGGCCATTATTTACACTCTGAGTGGTCGACACATTTTACATCCCCCCCTTTGAACATGACAAGTAACACACGGAGGGTGTAACCGGTTGGCAGGGGATGCTCACTCCTCCATGGCACCTGGTTATGTTTGCTCCGCTCTGTAATGTTTAATGGACTTTTGAGCTCGAATACTGTTATCTCCATAAATTCCATCGACATAAGAATGGAAATGACCATTGATTGACGATACATCGTCTATACACATGTACATTGTATATCTAAATGTCGAGTTGAAGGCCACAGCGAGTGTTTTCTTCTTTTCAAATATGAAATTTTGGACAAAAGCTACTTGATATAAATACAAACATATGTCAACTAATAATAACAAGGAGCCATGTGTAACAATGGTCATTCCAAAAGATTTTTGGGAGACGTTGTCCTCAGAAAACTATGGTGGCATATTTATGCCATCCACATATTTTTTTGTTAACATAAGATATCAAGTCTAGTCAAGATAACTATCGTATCAAGTCATGATAACTCTCTGGTTTGTCGTCAAACACCGACTTTTATCGTGTACAGTCAAGATAAGCTATCGTATTTTTGCGATAGCTATCTCGAGAAAACGAGATAATTTATCTTTTATCGCGATTAAAAGTTATCTCGTCATGTCAAGATAGCTATGGCAACAAAAGTGATAGCTTATCTTGACTTGGCAAGATATAAAGCCGGTGTTTGTCGACAAACCAGAAAGTTATCTTCACTTGACGAGATAGTTATCTTGACTGACATGATATGCTATATTAACAAAAAATTATGTGGATGGCATAAATATGCCACCATAGAAAACCTTATAAACAGCGTACATATTTTTTCAAATCAAAAACCAGTAAAATGTCTTCTTTCCTTGTTAAGAAAAAATGAATTGGGGCCTGTTTTATAATGAAAATAAGTATTATGTATTCATTTTCATGTTTTCTCTATACTTATTTCTATAAAAAAAAATTCAATAAAAAACGACATTACAGAAAATCTGAGTATATGTAATACACAAGCTCTAACGACTTCCCTTTGTAAATGATGCTATAAAGCTTTGAAATCAAAACTCATATGTTTATATCTATTTTCAGACTTACTTATTAAGAAAGAAGAAACTATTCGTATAGAATCAGTATTTTTCTACAAAGCATTTATTTTTAACCCTAAGAAAAATGAGATTTTTATTTTTTTTTAAACTCTATTACGAAGAAGGAACAAACAACGAGACCATTCCTAGTTTCCGTCCAGAATAAATTTTGCATTGTTTGAATTACAATATTTCCCAACGTTTGCCAGTTTACGAGAACAATATACAGAATAAAATAAAAAATATACAGAATAAAATAAGTGAAGCCTTGAGGATTTCAGAAATAATTGCTTTGGGTCCGTATGGAGATAAACATAATCCAAAATAAAGAATTCAAAATAGCATTTTGAGATAATTGAGAAAGAAATATTTTTTTAAATGTAATAATTTAGCCCTAAAGGGAGGTTAATATCATTTACGAGTAATTAATCAACACGAGAGAAAATGAAAGGTAGAGTAACATAATTCAGAATATCTTTTCCATAATGAGAAATAACCCCTTTTAATCCCATTCTCTAAATGAATCAAATAAAGTAGAAA